GATCATATATGTCTATTTATTATTTTACTACTTATTTCTAATAAAATGTTGATTTGTAGAGATCAACTATGATTCTATAAGGATTGCAGATAAAATAAAAAATGTTTGGAAATTTCCTAATCATAAGATATCTAAAATTTGAAATTTTCCTGCATGATCTAAAAACTTAAAATTTTCTAAAATTGAAGTAACAAATCAAGAATAAAAAATGCAGTCCATCAATTTTATTTTTCACCAATTGACATCTCGCAATCGGGGGAAAAAGTATTTCCTTTTTCGACGAAATTGATGTCAACTTAATATACTATTAAGGTAATTATGTTAAAAATAGCTATACGTGAAATATTGGAATTTTTATCTCAGCATGTAAAGTATCTATTCCTACATAGGAACTTGATCATGTATATCTATTTATTATTTTATCACTTATTTGTAATAAAATGTTGCAAATAAAATAAAGGACATTTGGAAATCTCCTAATCATAAAATATCTCGAATTTAAATTTTCCTACGCGATCTAAGAACTTGAAATTTTCTAAAATTGTAGTATTAAATTAAGAAGAAAAAATGCAGTGCATCAATTTTATTTTTCACCAATTGATACCTCGTTGACGAACAATAACAGTAGACCTACCAAACCTATCAAAATATTTCATTTTCGTAATCACCGAAAAAATATTTCAGTCTTCAACAAAATTAATAATTTATTCAAATGAAAACTTGATCATATATACATCTACTTATATTCATCGCATTACCATAATTGCTATAATTTATATACAGTATATTCATCTATGTACTCCAGAGCAATGATCCTAGCGTTAAATACTAAAATTATTTTCATCGTCCCACAATGATGAAACTAAAAAGCTGATATTAAAAGAAAATCCAATATCTAAGCTTTCTATGCATTAAAATACCAGCTTAATGCGACCAGATATATGTTGCACTTCCTGTCCAGGCGATCGGTCAGGCATGTAATTCGCGCGAGTCGTTTGTTTTATGCGAATAGGCTGCAAGGTAGAGGCGAGATAACGCGAGTCGCTGGTAATTTGGTTATTTTTAACTAATTAGTTGATAACGAGCGAATTTTACATTCGTTTTTACCCACTGCGTTTCTGTATCGCTTGACCGTCCGCGTGGTCGGATTGGAAATAGAGCAGAGATACGGAATTGGGTCCAAGAAGCTTGAATCGTCTGGACGGAAAGAGCAGCCGCGAGTAAAAAATAAAATTAGAGAGAGCACTGAATTATACACGGAAAGATGTCCGTTTCTATTTTTAAGGAAATATCGAAATAGGAAGAGAACAGACCCGAGTGGTATATTCGTGGGAACCTGGCATATTCGAACATCCGTTCGTGATGCTTCAACGTCTAGCTGCTTGGGAACCGCTTATAATCGTCTTGCTCGAAATACGTCTTGATTTATTAAACGAAATAAAGCTCATTTATCAGTCTTATTTATAGGAACAGTGTCTTCCGTGAGATTTCTCTGAGGCAAGATACGCTCTGCATCAAGGCTTATGTAAATATGGATTATAGATTTGTAACAGAGTGTTTTGTTAATGGTTAACATAGATTTTGAATATATACGTATTGATATAATAAAGGAGCTGTCTGTCTGTAAGAAAGGGATGAGTGGGGCAAGTATGCATGAGATGACAATATCTAATGAATTCAGATTATCGTGATAAATGAGTATGAGTATAATGATTGAGGTGTGTGTAAATTGTGTATATTCATGTAATGTATGAAAGTAGAAAGAACAAACCAGAGAAATTGGGTACAGGTCAGTTGTAATTCAGTTGTAATAGTGAAAATAGGTGTGAGCATGTGATTGCGAGAAATTAATTAGATTTATACTTAATATTTGTATTTGACCATTTTTTGTAATTAAATAAAGAATTGTTCTTATTTGAGAATTACTCGAATTTTTAATTCGGTAAATTTAATAAATAAAGGAACAGCTAAAGAAATTTTTTATATTGGTATAATTTATTTCAATTTTATGGCATTGTGCACTTACTCTGCTTTCATTAGGAGTAAATCACTTAAAGGTTTAAAAGATAAATTTTCGGAAGCTGTAGATAGTTATCTCATCTAATTTTCTCTCCGAATTAATGTAGAATTCTAAATACCGTTGAATTATAAAAAATGAGGAATGATTCAGCGTAAAGAATATTTAAAGAAAGAAAGATAGGAAAACGGAATATTTAAAAAAAAAAAGATAAAAAAGTATCTACTTTTATCTTGACCTATCTCCCGCAGTTATTTAAAGGGAAAAATTGCTTTTACATTAATCAATTTCTTTCTGCTTACTTCATTTAACATAGCTTCTCAAAATATTCTTACCATCGAAAATATAAATACATAATAAATGAAAAATAAAAATAAATAAATAAATTGTTGGAATTAAATGACACTGTATTTTTACCTATACTACTCTAATAATTTATTACTAACAATGTGGTTCTTATTGTACAAACGTTCTATATACCTTGTTCTATTTGCAACTAACGCAACTAACTCAGCTAACGAGGACTGAGTACTGACTTATTGCCAAAAATCTTCATATATATATATACACACATTGCTCTCCCCACTCCAATTACGGAAGCTCGTATCTACCAATAATATACATATAATTGCCTACATAAATAAATGAAGAAACAGTAGAGGCCACGTAAAACACAAGAGGAACCGCCATTTTTAACCCGTCACATTTATTTAACTCCATAGTCATCACAGGACAACCCTCGAAGTCAACGTCGAAATGATTCATTCGCGACAGAAATCGTCATTGCACGCATTGACATCTCCGATGTAATCTCTTCCACGATCACCTATCGAAAAAAGTCATTTCTCTCTTGTATCGTGGTAAATACATGTGACTGACGCAAATAGAGAATAATAACACGATTTTTGGAATGAAAAAATGCGGTTGACGAAGAAGAATCAAGGTCCAGTACTGAAAATGGCATTCCTCCTCGTTCACCGAATAATGGCCCACAATTTCGTGACTATCGTAACGTCGAAATTTAATAACCACCATTAAGGTTACAAGGACGTAACACGATGTCCAGATACCGAGAAATCAAGAAGAGGACGAAAATTAATCGCTGATAAAAATAATGGACGAAACGGGAATTAAACGAGTACCATTTTAGGGTACAATATAATACAGAATTGCTGACATTTATACAATGAAACGAGATTTAATCTCACCCGTGACATGCTTCCGCTTTTAGATCGTTTTGCTGGAAATCGAAGTATTCCATGTATTCGAAGTATTCCATGTGAATTATGGTAAAACCGATAAGAAGGTGATTCTTCGCATAAAATTGAGTCGAAAATGTAGAATAAAGTTTTTACGAATGAGGCTTCGTTTTTGAGAAACGACGCCTTTACACGCGATTTTCTCGTATTTGCAAACAATATTAGTCAGAATGGGATATAAACTTAACGAATAACAAACTATAACCTCTAATATCTAATTTATTTCAATAATTTCCAAATTTTTCCACATCGAATTATCGAAACGTGAACTGAACACCCCCCGAAATTTCAAATTCGATTTTCTCGAAAATGGAACCTCGTACAAAAAAATGTTGTTCTAGATTTCTGGTTAAGTTTTACGCGTAGAATCATCTACGTACCGATTTTACTACAATTTTACGAATATCGCATATATATATATGCAAAGTGAGATTTATATAGTTTTGTAAATAGCAATGTGGATGCACTGAGCAATTTATGCAAAGGATGCATCGAGGAATATCGATGTTATATCGATAAACGGAATATTAGTATGGTTGTTAACGTTAATACGAAGCAGCGATATTTATGTAAGATAAAATTTAATCGTATTACTCGTTTTATGGACCACTACCGCTTTCCTTGTTTGTTCCGAGCGTGGTAAAATGTCGAGCTTGTTTCCGTCGTTCAAGTTTCAGATTAAATGACATAAACTGATAGGAAGCATAACATACCGGGTTCAAAAGGAAGAAAATGAAGTTAACACGTTTGGAAGACGTCTACAAGCTAATTAAGGATCGAGACAAATGTTAAGTAACAGATAACACGTGTTCTTTTCTTTGTCCCGTTTAATTACCCCAGTTTTATTCCTAGGCTGAACGATTTATAGCCTTTATATAATTTGTTTAGGCATGATTAGCTACTGCGGAGAAAATGATCTCGGAAATAAAAACTAATCTTTCACGCTATATTAGATGATGTCAGTAAATAAGAATCTAAAATTATACTCCCAATCGGAAAATTTGCTTGTGTAACTACCACTTCTAATTTAAAAAAAAATTCATAAAGTTAATTAATACAGTAGCAATTTCTATAACGCGAGAAATTTTAAGAAATTTTTATAAGAAAAAACGAAAACAATGTAAAATTTTTAAATTCGCATTATAGCTGTGATAATAAGGAAAAACGTATTTTCATTTTCGAGATATTGTTAAATTTTTGGTCAATTAATTCTTCTCATTAGCAGTCGGTGAAATTACCTAACTTTCTTAAAAATATAAATATGACAATTCCAAAAATAATTAACGAATATCAAAGCAATAGTCATACCCCATATCCAATCTTTTCATAAATTCTACTAATAATAACCATTGACAACAAATTTCTTTAAGACGTAAAATTTGATTTAAAGATAAATTATGTGCCTTGCAATGGAACTAATGAAACAAAAATTATTTTAAATCCTCACATATGACATTTCTCCTCCTAACGATAAGTACCGCGAGCAACTACTGAATTCGACAATAGCAAAAATAAATCAATAAAAATCAAAACCACCGATATACCCTATACAATCCAATAATCACCATTCGAAATAAATCTTTAGTCAATCAATAAACTTAATAAAAATTAAGTAGGTACCAGTCTAATTTGTACCAGCCACGTCTCTATAATCTCCGAGACCCCATAGGGAATCCTAAATTCCTCGCGTGGAACGCGTCAACGTGTACCTTACTGTGTCTTACCTGCCAGCCTGTCCTTAAGGTGTGGGTGTCCCTGGAGCGGATGTGCGGCCAGGTTGGCCAGCAAACTGGCCCTGTGAAGACCAGCCGCCGCCGCTTGTTGTTGACTGTGCTGAAGAGCTTGTAAACTCCATGGTGGTATCAACGCCTGTGCCGGCAGTGCACCCGTTGCAGTCCCATTAGCACCGGGTGGTCGATGCGCAGGAACTCTTATTACGCCTCCGCCGGTGTATATCAGGCCGGATCCGGTCGGGAAAAGCCTGAACGGTGCCAATAAATCAGCCGCGCTGGTGCAGTGGACCGACGACGTGGAATTGGTCTGCGTTTCCGGCGTACTTCCGGTGTCGTCGTCGTCCTTCTCCGACAGCTTCTCCTCGATCTCGTGGCCCCAGGACCTCCTGCCATCGTCTAAGGTCATCGACGAGCCACCGTTGTTGTTACCCTCTTCCCAAGACCATTTTCTTTCCTTGTCACTGTCCAGATCCTCCGACGAAGGACTCTTCGGGTTCTGCGACCGATTTTCGCCTAACAGGCGGCTTATACTGAACGGATGACTTCGTGGGGACTCGTTCTGCAACGTCCTCGAGCTGGTCTGACTCGGCGGCGGCGAATTCGAATACTCCGAATGATCCAAGCGACGATTGTCGCTGCTATAGTTCCGCGGACTGCAACTTCCGGAGTCCGAGTCGTCCACGTTAATCTCCTCCGTCGCGTCCACGTCGCTGTCGCCGTGAACCGACATGATGAACCGATCAACCGATTGCGATCCTTTCTAGAATGCTCGTGGTCTTTGGCGATGATCGTTCACGGGACGTTGCCTCGAATATTCATCCTGCGCCTCTGTCGCTTTAATTTCCGATGTCGAACTTCGAGATTTGGGACTTAGAGGTAGTTTATGAGGAATTTTAGGTCTGTCTTTCGAGTCTAAAGTGGATTAGAAGATTTTACAGACTTGGTCACTTGTACGGGTTAGATCGATAGTGTAGGTGCGTCTCCGTCCGAGTTTGGGGTACCGTGTACTCCTATTAGCCTGACGGCCATGTTGTTCGCGTAGAGTTCGAATATTACGCAGGTCGAAACCCTCACTCAAAGGACACTGATAACGCTCAACTGTCTCCATCCACGGACAGGCAACCGTACACAAGGACACTTCGGAGGACAGTCTAGGACACTTGTTACTGTTTGTTCACTTTCTGTTCACTCTTCCGTCGATAAGAAACCAAAACCGAATCACCAGGTCAGTTCCATCGGAGCAAATACTCTCGCGATAACTTGGACCTTTGATCTTCGGCACTCTTGGTCGACAGGTCACAGGTTAGACTCACGAAAGCGTCTTTGTCCAAAGTCAAAGGGCAAAGAGGTGTCAATCGGCGGATTTACTGGGGGAAAATACAGGGGACGCGATGGTGTGCACACTAGGCGGAGGCAGAAAGCTGAGCAGCTCACGTGGTGCTCGGAAGGGCTGTGTTTTCCGCACGGAACTCGGTCCGTGGTGAGTTGGGACGTGAATCCAGGTCGGTCGCGACGAGAGAGACGGGACGTTGTGAGGGAACCAGAGAGACCAGATGGTCCATCCCTACCTGCTTCTGCGGCGACTCGAGCCACAACCCGGCGTCCCGACGTTCGGCATCGCCTACCACGACGCCAGTGTCCAATCCTGTTCCACCTGGTCCCGCCCACCTTCTCCGCTATTGGTCGGCGTTAAATTGATACCTATTTAACATTTGAGCAGAATGTTGCAGGCGATCGCCTTTTTCTCCTATATTATTTATTGCCCGATCGTCGTGCCTCCTTTTTTCTCTCCTGCCCCAGGTTCCTCCTCGTTCCTTCCTCCATTCGAGAACAGAGATCCGTGCACGTTCCTTCTCCTTCGTCCTTCTTGCCTCTCCTGACCTCCCGCCCTGTTCTCCACCACCGTGTCCTCGTCTCGCTGCAGGAACGTGCGTTCAAGAAGCGGAGGGACTTAATTACGACGAATATCCTTTTTGGCCCCTCCACCGACTCCCTGAGCCGTCTCTAGACCCATCCTTCCCTCTGCCCTTCTTCCACTCCCGTTCTTCCGCACCTTTCTCGTCTTCGCTCCTCGTGCTCACGACCTCCTTCTCTTCTTCCTCTTCCACCACGACTTTTATCGCGCTGTTGCGATGGAGTTGGCCCCGTGTTGTGCAGCTAGGTATGCGCAGCCCGCAGAATGCAGCCCGAAGCATCGAGCAAAAGGCCAGCCACGCCAATTCCCCCCTCGGCTCTTCACCGGCAGAGAATCCGATCCCGAGACTCGGGCCAAACTCACTTTCGCGTGTCTTCTTCTCTGTGCATCGCTCTGGATACTCACCTTTTCCACGCTTTTCACCTCTTCTATTCGATCAGGGTCCAGTAGGTTCGAATTCGCGGTCAGATGGCTCGTAGGTCTAGCGTGTATGGGATTCGTGGGTCCGATGGGTGCATGCTTGATCTTGCAGCGTGTTTTTAGGGTGCTTGGGCAAGCAGAGGTTTTCGATCGAAGTGGATGGGAGTTGGGATTGTTGAGGATTAGGGAGAGACATTGGTACACAGGTTTTGGGGATATTAATCTTTCTGGGACGATGGTAGCATAGGAGACAGCAGGTTTGTTTCGTGTGTTTGTGACTAGAGGTGGTATAGGTGCACATGTGTCCATCATTTTCGACTGTAGGTTGGTTTAGTGCTCTGTACTCAGGTACCTGTTTTAATACGTTCATTTGCTGTTAGACTTTGCAAGTAGGAGACCTGGAGTAGGTGATTGGTATTAGACGAATAGTCCATATAAATAGATTATTCGTTAAACTTAACCAATTTTTATCTACTATAATAACGAGCCCAAAGACGAACTAAAAATTATACTTAACACTTCCTAAAATTCCCATAAATTCTAAAAACTTGTATAATTTTAAGGCGAACGAAATATTACAAATAATTAAACGCCTTTAAATGCCTAAATTATGGTACAAGAGATATCTCGATTAGAACTTTTAATTCACTGAAATTTTGAAATAAAAGACCTGTATTGAAAGACGTGTTTTTGAAGCAAATTTTCCCAGAATAACCCAGAATCGATAATTATTTTGATTTTACAGTAGACGTGATACGTAGCAATACGTCAGCTGATATGTTACATATCAAAGTATTCTGTACTCAGAAAAAATTAAATTTTAATTAAAGATTACACCTAGTACCTAGAACTTTAAACTTTAATATCGGAAAATATTTATTGCCTGATAAAAATTTTAATTCTACGATATCAATTTTCTCAGACCACCAATGGCCTACTTAAAACGACGCGTTTAAAAATAATTAAAACCAAATAAAGCGGAAATATGAAGAGCAGAAACGACACTGAGAAAATGAAGACTTGGAAATGAAAATTATGAAATATATTTCGTTGTTCACAGAAGAGAATTCTATTCCAATTGCACCGTAATTCTTTAAACATTATCTCGAAGTGAACCGGTCGATGTTGCGAGTGAAAAAGAACTTTGTTCGCTATTGATCGATAGTTTCTACAACCTGACGAAAGTATTGGTGTCTCCTGTAGTCACACGACGCCAGCCACCTCCTTGTATACGAGCCAATTTAAAATGGTGACCGTCTACAAACTCGCCCCGCCATTTTCCTCCTCTTATCGAGCGACTTTATCACTCTGTAAGCTGAAGGCTTATTAAACTGCACTTTGATTGTGTCTTCTATAAACGCGAGCACAGTTAAGAGTATAATGCATCAACTATAAGACAAATGAAAGTGTCCGGGAAATCTACGAATAATAAAAATCTGTGAAAATTAGAGAAATAAATACCACGCTTATAAATAATTTTTCCAAACTTTTTTAAAAATGAATTTCGATTTAAAATTTAAATACTGCAAATTTGGTATTATTCTTTAAACTAGAAATTTTCGTCTAATTCGAGGGGTGTATGAGAAACGAAATATGAAAATTATGTTGATAAAATAGGTTACTATTTAAACAGTAAATAGTAAATAATACACAATTAATAATAAATAATAAATAGTAAATAGTAAATAGTATATTACTATAGATGCAATCTTTTTATTGGTTAAATAAAGACATTAAATTTGCGATAATTATTCTAGCAAAAATGGAAATATCAAATTCCCAGAATTGCGTATATTAATATTATTATTACCGAATAAGAAGTTGGAATATAAGATTTACCAAATTGCAGTATTATTATAAATTACTTCACGTGTTAAATTAATTTATTCAAAATTAATCTCTTGCGCTAGCATGTAATTATGAAAAATTCTGCATTGAAGTAGTATTCAATTTCAATTAATCTATATACTATATACCTATTTCATCCACGATGAAATTATATAAAAATTTTGCGAATTTTGTTAACGTGTGGAGCATAATTATGGTCGCGTGATACAGCTTGTAATCATGGATTTGGCTCGTCACTGTAGTGCAAAAAGTTAATACAAATCATAGAAACAAGATTCTGCGAATTAAATGATTAAAAAACTCAGACGACAAAAATTGTATCTATTTCATTTTTTATTTCCAGGCAAATAATTCGCAAAAATAACGTATCTAGGCGAATATTTGATGCTCAACGAAGATTTCACGTGGAATCGTCGCGTTATCATTGAAATAGGCAAATTGCGCAAAAATATTTCGATCGACGATTCATTGGAGGATAATTCGCGTGCAGTGTGCCTTTACGCAATAAACATTGCGGTACTGAGGGTAATGGAAACAAAATAATTTGCTGCACACGTAGTGGCGAAACGTCGACTCGAGTCTTGCCTTCTCGCCTTTTGCATTACTGACTCTTTCGTTTCTAATGGCCGTGGTTGCGTATCATTATGCAGTTCCAACGCACGTGTACACCAAAGTATTTCGCATTGCCCACGGTATAGTTCCGTGAAATATGGTAAAGCGTCGATTATATGGAGATTGATTCGTTGACTATCGGTTAGTTGGTAATTCGCGAGTAATTGAGATTCAATGTGGATTTCTATGATCAGAGATGACTGGGATAATAGGAAGGATAAAAATGGAGATTGATTAGATACTGGTAGTAAGAGGATATAAATAGAAACACTAAACTTAGTATTGTATTATAAAAATTCATTTCTTTGATTAATTATTAATTGTTGACACGAAAAATTTATAAGATAAATATTAATAATTTATATTAATATTATTTCTTTAGATTTCTTGGATATTGTTGATTAGATTTTTTAAGATATTTAATTTCTTTCATTTAACTTCATTTCGCAAAAATAACGAAATTGATAAGATATACGTACTTATTGCAATCCATTATATAATTATTTTTGTATATTAATATTATTTCCTTACATTTCTTGGATATTGTTGATTACATAAGAAATTCAATTTCTTTCAATTTCTTTCCTTTAACTTTTTTCATTTCGCAAAAATAATGAAATTGCTAAGATATACGTAGCTATTGCAATTCATTATATAATTATTTTTATATATTAATAATATTTTCTTACATTGCTTGGATATTATTAATTAAACTTTAATAAGAAATTCAATTTCTTTCAATTTCTTTTCTTTAACTCCTTTCATTTCGCAAAAATAATGAAATTGATAAGACATATGTAGCTATTGCAATCCATTATATAATTATTTTTCATACTGCATAAGTCCATATGCAAAATTTGCAAAGCAATTAGTACCCAATTACCGTAATTATTGTACAATTTAATTCTGCGAAACTGTATATCGAAATGAACGAC